AAACTAACGGGATCACACCACGAAGATGGCTATTATTATGTAATCCTGGTTTAGCGGATTTAATATCCGACAAAATAGGCGAAGACTGGGTAGTTCATTTGGATCAACTTCAAAACCTGAAGAAATTCGCAAACGATCCGATTTTTCAAAAGGAGGTGTCAAAAGTAAAGCAGGAAAATAAACTAAGATTAGCACAGCTTCTAGAAAAAGATTATGGAGTGAAAGTCAATCCCGCATCTCTCTTTGACATCCATGTTAAGAGAATACACGAGTACAAACGGCAACTTCTAAACTGTTTACACATAATCACCTTGTATAACAGAATTAAAAGAAATCCGACTGCAAAATTCATACCTCGAACTGTGATGATTGGAGGGAAAGCAGCGCCAGGATACGTCACTGCAAAGAAAATCATCAAGCTTATAAACTACGTCGGAAACGTTGTAAATAACGATCCAATAGTGGGAGATAAATTAAAAATAATTTACCTCGAAAATTACCGAGTAACGCTTGCAGAAAAAATTATTCCAGCGGCAGATTTAAGTGAACAAATTTCCACGGCAGGAACTGAGGCTTCCGGTACCGGTAACATGAAATTTATGCTAAACGGATCCCTCACTATCGGCACATTAGACGGTGCCAACGTTGAAATGGCAGAAGAAATGGGAAACGAAAATATATTTATATTTGGAATGACCGTTGACGAAGTTGAGAACTTGAAAAGAAAAGGCTACAACGCATATGATTACTACAATAGTAATCCCGAATTAAAACAGGTGATAGATCAAATACAAAACGGTTTCTTCAGTCCTAAAAATCCAAACGAATTTAGAGATCTTGTGGACATTTTGCTTAAATATGACAGATTTCTCACCCTTGCTGATTATGAGTCATATATTAAAAAACAAGAAGAAGTAAATGCAGCATATGAGGTATTATACAATTTTTTCAATTCAATTTCGTTGGATCTTTCGCTTAATTGCATTCTTTTTTTTATTTCAGAAGCACTCTAAATGGACTGAAATGGCTATCCATAATATTGCGTCTTCAGGTAAATTTTCAAGTGATCGTACAATTATCGAATACGGAAAAGACATTTGGGATGTTCAACCAAATTATGAAAAATTACCTGCACCTAACGAATCAAGAGACACTAATTAGGAATCTCCTTTTTGTTACTACTGTCCTTTATTTAGATTGAATAGTGTTTATTTGCATGCATGTTTTAGTCTCTCGCGGATTTTATGCCTGCAAGTTTTTGTTGAAATATTGAAAAAATATATATCCTTGTATTTAATTTTGTTAGATTGTTTAATAATAATATAAAAAACAATTTTAATATCTAATCGTATTTTTTCGCTGTAAAACCGATGACATACAAATGACTCCGAATTTCTTTTACGCACTTCAAAAGGGTTTTGGGCGATACACTTGTAGTATACACGTCAAGTCGGATTACGCTTCGGACCTTCCTTTGGTATCAGAAAAACCAATATTCGTTATTAATATACTTATAATTAATACTTAATAACCATATATTTTTGGAATTTGCCACAACGCTTTAATCCAGGTTATTCATAAATGGGACAGTTATTTTGTTAAGCTGCTCTCAAGGTATTAAAGTACCTATTTAAAAGGATTTTTGATTAGTAAGACAGAATTATATGCTTACCATTTCAGTGGTTACTTTGCTTTGGTTATCAGAAAATACATAAACACGTTCCAGCGGAAACTTTTTCTTTTGGGACGTTCTTATGGTAACTGACGGTAAAATGCATAATATTGTATTTTTTTCTTAAATCTCTTTTTGTATTTGTCAGTCTAAAACCAGTCAAGTTCATTAAAGCGCAATGAGCAATTTTCATCCTCGGAGTCATTCTTAAATTTATAAGCACGTTTAAATGCTCCTAACACTGTTTCCAAACCTTAGGTAAGTTTAAAAAAAAATCGATTGTCTGTAAAATCGATTTACTGACGATAATTGAACGTGACAACGTCATAAGAAAATACTGATGGAATGGTTTCATTTTTCAAGAGAAAATTTTAATTTTATTTGTTTGATAGATATTTTGTATGGATATGTAGAAGAACGTAAATGGAAATGTATTATTGTATTGCAGCTGTCCACGCGGACGCAACGCTCACTCAAGTAGGAGAGAGACAGATGTCGAACGCTGCCGAACGCGGAGGCCGATTGTGCCTCTTTGTCGCTCGTTCCGCGCTCTCGCTTGCACTTCAAGCCTTAAATGGAACGCCTCAGAGCGAGGTAACGCCGCATGAGTCATGTTTTTTCGTGCGTGCAGCCCCGGCTCCATCGAATTATAAGACGTTGTCACGTCAAAAAACTAAATTTTTTCCCGATTTACTACCATAGTCTCTAACCGCACAGATAAATCGGTTTGTAGAATCAGTACGAACAGGCGAATTGTCAATTTCCATCGTAATTCCATAAAAATTATTTGTTTTTATTTAAGTTATGTTGATGCCAAATTATGTTGATGATAATTTACTGAAATACATGATCATAGTACTAGAAACCAAAAGAACTATATGTTACCCCAAGTCAATAGTAAAAAGACACAAAACTCAATCTTTTGCAAAGGAGTGAGCAAATATAATGATAGGAAAATTTTTATTTTAGATGATTCAAACAGTAAAATAAAGTTGTTATGTGTAAGTAGGTAATTAACAGTACAATTTATGCCGATGCTTAGCATATTTATTAATAATCATCAAAGCTAATATCAATATTGCAATGTTTTTCATCCTCTAATTCTTGACTTTCTTTTTAATTTGGTGAACACCAAATGTTTTTTCAACTTTTGAAAAATCTGCTGGACAGTCGGACCTTTACGTCACAATCATCAAATTTATTCTCTTTAATATAATAAGTGCAATGGAATTGAGATCTGAACATAGGGATACTCTGTTACATGCGGCAAAGGACGGTATTATCGTTTGAAAACTACGACGCGAAGGTTAAAAGGGAAATTCGTACATTCATCCATCTTTTCATACATTTTATACGAGTATTAATGTAAGAAGTCCTACAAATGAAATGTAAAGCCTTTGAGGGATGCTACACTTTTTTCACAAGATTTTGAGACTTCGTGCTTGACAGGCCAGTTTAAACCTAAAAATTTCCCTATAAATAACTGATCCTAAATAATAAAAATGAAAACACTTATGTATGAATGACCTTATAAGTCCGAGATAACACATCTGTAAAATAAACAAAAAGAAAGTAATCCTGGTTTAGCGGATTTAATATCCGACAAAATAGGCGAAGACTGGGTAGTTCATTTGGATCAACTTCAAAACCTGAAGAAATTCGCAAACGATCCGATTTTTCAAAAGGAGGTGTCAAAAGTAAAGCAGGAAAATAAACTAAGATTAGCACAGCTTCTAGAAAAAGATTATGGAGTGAAAGTCAATCCCGCATCTCTCTTTGACATCCATGTTAAGAGAATACACGAGTACAAACGGCAACTTCTAAACTGTTTACACATAATCACCTTGTATAACAGAATTAAAAGAAATCCGACTGCAAAATTCATACCTCGAACTGTGATGATTGGAGGGAAAGCAGCGCCAGGATACGTCACTGCAAAGAAAATCATCAAGCTTATAAACTACGTCGGAAACGTTGTAAATAACGATCCAATAGTGGGAGATAAATTAAAAATAATTTACCTCGAAAATTACCGAGTAACGCTTGCAGAAAAAATTATTCCAGCGGCAGATTTAAGTGAACAAATTTCCACGGCAGGAACTGAGGCTTCCGGTACCGGTAACATGAAATTTATGCTAAACGGATCCCTCACTATCGGCACATTAGACGGTGCCAACGTTGAAATGGCAGAAGAAATGGGAAACGAAAATATATTTATATTTGGAATGACCGTTGACGAAGTTGAGAACTTGAAAAGAAAAGGCTACAACGCATATGATTACTACAATAGTAATCCCGAATTAAAACAGGTGATAGATCAAATACAAAACGGTTTCTTCAGTCCNGCCTTTCCATGTTATTATCTTTTTTGTCCATCTTTCATCCTCCATACGAGCAACATGGCCGGCCCATTCCCATTTTAGTTTCTTGCAATTGTTATATTCCACATATTAATTATTAGTTTAATAAGCGTTCCATATCTCATTAGGTAATCATCAAATATCCCATATCATTATTTAAAAACAAATATCAAGATTTAAACTTAACTAGAAAATGTAATATTTACTTCTTGTATTTTTTGCCGTTGTAAAACGAAGCCAAACATTGTGCACTTGGTGCTATAAAATTAGCATCGTACTTGAAACTTTTCTGAGAAGTGTCCTAAATGGCGCTTTCTCTAGCGTCCCTATAAAAGGGAGCAGGTACCAAATTTCGAGGAGTTCTAACTCTTATTCTGTTCTTGCAACATACCACATTTTCTACGTCTTTTCTATTTTTTATTTTAAGTTAATTGTTAAGTATAAATTAAGTTAAGTGTAAGTAATAAGAAATAAAGTTGTTCTCAAAAAGTGTGTCCTAGTTTACTTGCTTCGAAATGAGCGTGTACAGCCCAATTTAAGAACGCGACATAGTCGCAGGATACAACAGAAATTTGGGAGAGCCGTCCGAAAAAAATGCATTTTATTGAAATTATTTTCAAATTAACTAATACAACACTGTTTTGTTTATTATAAAACAAATGTTTATTATAAAAAAAACTACACAAACTACATTTAAATTCGAAACTTACAATTCAGCAATATGTAAATGTACTTTACTTTTATCACATAAGATTGAATTACATCATAACTACTGAGAAATACGAAAAGGAGGTGGGTATTCAAGTTATAATAACAAATTTTGACGAACCGAATAGACATTTATAATAATAATAAATAATATGACGTGTAAAACAAGTCGTATTTAAATTAGAAACAGTTTAAATAATTACAAATTACTTAATAGCCTTGATCTTCTGCCGGCCTTATAGCAGAAACCTGTTATGTAGTAGAAGTATATAAATAGTTTGCAATATATTGTGTATATCGGCCATCTAATCTTTTTACATATGATAATGTAGAATCATCGTGTAACTTCGTCTGGATTTTCCGTAATTAATTGCGTTAAAATATACATACGTACCATTGGAATGAACATTTTACAAAAGAAAACATCCTGTCTCATTCTCGTGCGACTTAACATCAAGATAAAACCATACATTTTGCAAATCAGACATATCATTGTATGTTACAGAAAAAATGATATGGTGTTTAATTCTTGTATTTGTTCAGCAATTATTTTCCATTGCTTTTACTGAATATACCGTTCCTAAACCAGAAATAAAAATTAATTCGAAAGGTTTAAAAGTTTCCATACCGGATGAAGATGGCATACAGCTTTTTGCATTCCACGGAAATGTTAATAAGGAAATGGATGGTTTGGAAGCCGGTCAAATGTCAGTTGATATTATAAAGAAGAAAAAAGGAAAATGGACGTACAGAAACAAATCAGTCAAAGTAAAACCTGGAGACATAATCTACTATTGGCTTTTTGTAATTAAAGACGGATTAGGATATAGATACGACGATGGAAAATTTGTTTATAATGGTACGTAATATCAAATATGAAAAATAATAATTAGGCGAATTTTGTTTTGATATATTCATTACATATACATATTTAGTTCGCTTGTAAAGCATACACGTATGATATTTCATTCTATAATAAAAGATAAATATAATTGCCGTTTCAGGAGAAAATAAGGTAGACGCAGGTCCTTTAAGGAATTCTGAACGCTTAATTTTTTTATAATATCAAATGAAAATATTCTTCATGTTATAAAAAGATTGTGCATAATAAAGTAATTGTTAATATACTTCTAAAGCCAATTCATTTAATCAAGTAATAGATATCCTACAGAAACTTTTTGTGTACGTGTTCATTTAAACAAAGATATAAAATTATTAATTTGTGAAAAATTGCGAAAATTGCTTATTTCACAATAAACAAAATTGTTTATTTTATATTATTATATATATTCGTGTTCAGCAGTTCAACGACCCTCAAAACCACTAAGAAACAAAATTGGATTTATTTTTATCATTAGTAACCGAGTTTTTCTTTTAACAACTTTGCAATGCATTTATAAGACTGCATTTTTCTTATGCATCAATGCATTTTTAAACATAAATCGATCTCTTAGGTTCACAACGTTTGTAGATGATCTCAAAAATCGAATGCAGAAATTCGAATACTGCAAAAAAATTCCAAGATTTGGCTTATTTTTGTGCTTCTCGACTAGTTAGTATGATTAAAATATGCGTTTGCGAAAGCTACGGCCAGTAGCTTATTTATTATTACTTTTAATGGCTTGTGTAAGTTAATAATTAAGCGGTTTATTACAAGCAGATTGAGAAAAAAAAAGAAATGCTTTGCTATAAGCTAATAATGAAATGTTAAAATTAACCTGTCGAAAAAAATGCGGTATTCAATGAGGTGCAACTTCTTTAATAACAATTACTCCAAATAGCAATTTCCAAAAAAAAGAAAAGGTATTAACAATAACAATAATTGCGGGAAAACTATTACCGGATCTGTTGTAGGTCATAGATTTTGAATATCGTTTAATCAGCGAAAAAATTCTTTTACATATTTCAGATAGTGTACTAAAGGCGTACGACTTAAGTTGCATCAGTTTATTTTATTATGTAACACAAGCAGTACTTTTTTTATCATTTTCGGGAGAAACAAATTGATAAATTTTCACGTTCAATGGCCTATTTTATAGGTACTTCAATTCCCTACAAAAAGTTTCAGAGCTGCGGTGTTCTAATCGGATAATTAGCTTGGGTTTTTAGAACCAAAAAGAACCCAATTTAATGTTTAACCGTTGTTTAAAAAAGGTTTTGAAGGAAACATGTTTTAATACCGAACTACGCAATTTTTTCTCTTGCTGGTCTATATAAATATATTAAAAAAGTGCATTAAATATTTGATAAATAATTACAGGTTCTATTGCCATCCGACGGAAGCGAATAAAAAATAAAAAGTACATCCATAACGTAGTCCGCAGAAGTTCTTCCTCATATACGGGGGATGCTGACAAAATAGTATTTCCTTTAGATCCCTTACTTTACAAGGAACCAAAAAGAATTTCCAGACAAGATATTGTAACTACAATTGATAATCCCTCACCCCAACAACAAGATGGATCAATACTTTCCCGTTTAGCCCAAACATTAGGAAATGCAGTAGAGAACAGACTACGTTCTCTGGGTCTATTTAATGAAAATAATCGCGATTATTCCGATGAATTCCAGCCAGGACCACATCGTCATAGAGCTCATCATTACTTTAAGCCTCCTTTTTTGTATGGTTATCACCATCAAGAATTTTACGGAAGAGCTCCTAATCCCCATCCTCCTACTCCTCAGGGCCTGCCCGGGCCATTTCCAAGAGGACCACCAGGTGAAGAAAATTTTTCATCTAACGATCAATTTGAGTTTCATAACAACCCGGCATCCCAAAAAGGCGTATCCAATCCACATGTTTATTTGCAAACTGTAGGCCTAAGTTCAATGCCAGAAAATAATTTCTATTCAGCATCTTTTGGAAATCATTATCAACACCAACAGTCCTTAACACCATCCGGAGGACCACAAAGTTCTCCATCTGGCGAAACCTTCTATTCATCTTCTTCATCGTTATCTGTTAATCCTGAAAATGGTTATTATCAATCAGTACCACCATCTAATCCTGCCGATGATAATTCTTCAATTCATTCACCACGCAATCCTTCAGGTAATTTTCATTATAAAATACGTCGCTTTCCTATTTAGCAATTCTCTCAAGGTTCTACAGTCATATCCTAAGGTGGTAACGATAATAACAAATTTTTTTCACGAAGTGCACTAAAATAAACTTCCTAATTATGTTTATAAATAATAATTCATTCGTATCTCCTTTTAGACAAGCATGAGGTAATTCAAAGAAAGGGTAATAACCTCAATTTTTACGTAGTAATGGTTGTTTATTATTTATTATATTTAAGTTTGTTTTACTGCATATTATATTCCATCTTCTCTGATTGTTGTTATGGCATAGTACTAATACAAACTTTCGGGAGAGTCGTTTTTTTGTAATATACGTGCATGGAAGTTCTATTAAAGTTGGTATAATAAAACATTTGTTATCGGTTATAGATGTATGATAATTATTTATAATTTAAACTACTTAAGGGGCAATATTAATTAATAATTATTTTTAAATTCACACTTTACTTGCGTCTACCTTCTCTATCGCTTTGTTTTATTTTAATTGAAACCTATGCACAAATTGTAGTTACAACATACCGTATTTTTCACAGGTCAACCAACCACTTTAGCCCCTTCAACGACTACATATAAGGTCAACACCGATCCTGATATTGATGTCAGGATTTTATAATCTGTTGTGTTATTTTATATTTTAAAGAGATAATAAACTGCATAAAATCTTTTACGTGTATGTATTTGTTTGTCTTTTTAGATCTTATAATCCATTTGCAACTAGTAGTACCTCACAAAATTTTTTTTCTTAAAAATCGTACTAAGGTAGGTATCTGCATATCTACCTGATGAATTATTAGAGAAGACATGGTGCCACTAATTTAAAAAAAATGACCTAGACAATGTGAATCCTATTTAATAGACATCTGTGGATTTTCAACTTCTGTTATAATAGAGTTAGTTTCCTTGTAAAATTCCACTTATTAAAAATAAAATGTATGGAGGTTTCGCAAGTAAAAGCTGCAACTAGTGATAAAAAATAGTTTATATTCAAACGTATCTCTGAATTCGTTGAAATTTTGGTACGTTGTGCAGTTTCATGATATTAGGAGTATCTACCTGCAATTAGGCGCTTATAACGTTCATCACGCCATAAAATCGTCACTTAAAGATTGGGGTCGTCGTAGCGTTTAAAAAAGTCATTCTTCTGGCCTGTATCAAGCTCACGACCATCCATGGTTATAGGTGGGTCGGTGTGATATTTGTCACGGATTTGGCGCACATAAAGTTAACGAGTTTCGTTAAAACAATTAAGAAATTAAAAATGTTCATTTGATTTGTCATCATTGTAATATATTAATACAATATGCAAAATAAAAAACTTTGTCATAATGTCAAGTCAATCATTAGTCGCTCATGACATCAAACAAAACACTCGCAAACTATTTGAAAAGGAGTGAGCGCCTAGTGGAACGTATTCCCTCAGTACACTTACAAAGTAGTCCTACTTAATGTCTGCGGTCGTCGGGATATGGTTAAAAATGACATCAATGACGTCATTATTCTCAACCTCATCAAACTCATGGTGACCACGGTTGTAGGTGTACTCACCATGCGATTCCCTATTACATCTAGTTAATACCCTCTAAAACTTACTTCTTATTTAAGAAAATTCTGTATTTTTCCTTTATTTAGTCATTACATCTGATGAAGAAACTTTAACTTCCTTGACGCAGTGAAGTAAAACACAAGGTACGTTTCTAAGTAATCAAACCGACGAAACAAATACTGAACAAATTAAAATAAGAAACAGTTGTTAAATTTAACCACCAGAAATTAATCGAAATCAAGAAAAAATATTATTCGGTTGTTGCTGATTCTCGTTGACAATTAAATATCAATTACGAAGTCAATAAAAGTCAATTTCAACGGTTATGCTAAATAAGCAACCTAGAAAAACAATGCTCATCTATTGCGGTTGTTAGAAATAAGTTTACTCAAATTTTACGGGAACACCGAAGAATGATAACCTTTTCATGGCAAACTGCAATCGGCAATACCGTAGGCAATACCTGCAAGCACCATTAAGTAGAGCACTGAAGCGTTAGAATTTTCGGAAGAAAATTACCAACTAGCTAGGAACATTTTAAAAAATAAGTTTGATAGAACTAGAAAAGCTATATTGCATCATTGGTCAATTTTACACAGTATTTCTAAGCTTCAAAAAGATGCATTGGCAGCATTAAAGGGTTTAGGAGACCAAGTCGAGCAATGACATAGTTGTTTCTTAATTATTTTACCAAAATTAAACTACACTACCAAATATCACTCGAAAACTACCTTAACCAACAATAAGATGTCACGGTACACTTTGTTTCTTGTAAAACGAGCTAGTTGTTCTGATTAATATATTCGAAAATTGAAAGAACTAAGTCTAAAACCACATAAAAACAAATTTAATTTATCACGGCAATTTCAATATTCACATAGTCAGTCATTCCTCACAACTAAACACAAAGAAACTGCCAAAAAAACTAACAATTTTCTTATCGTTCCTGATATACTATTAGGAGGAGGCGTTTCTCTGTCATTGTTTGCTGGACAACATACATTATTTAACCAAGAACATCTTGATATATGACAGCATGACCAATGAAGAGTTCCTTAGAAGTTTGAATTGCAAACCACAGCCTATGCACATCATAAAACAACTTAAGCTGGAGTACTTGGGCCATATCATGAGGAACTCTATTTAATACCGTCCGTTGCAACCGTTTCTATAATGTAGAAGAAAGAAAGCAACTAGGTAGAAAGAGAATTTCATGGCTTGCCAACTTACAGAAGAGGCTTGGCTTCCATTGAATTCTTCCGTGCTGTAATCAACAAAACGCGTATAGCCATGATGATAGGCAACACGCGGAATGGATAAGAACTACAAAAAAGAAGAAGAATGGCAGTATCAATGGTTTTGTGATTTAACCAATATCAGTAACGCCATCAGAATATTCTGGGAGGTTGAAGAAGGCGACACTGTCAAATATCTATCTAAGTAAGAAACGGACTGCGAAGATCACTACAAAGAACTTGTTATCCATAATATCGAATAGAGGTACGTAGTTGGACTTCCGTCCACTGAAAAAAAAAGAACAATAAGATGTGCTACGTCACATGGCATTAAAGAGAGTATAATTCAAGCGAGGCAACAGTTTTTTTTTTTTCAATACAAAGCTGTAACCGCTATTCGCTGGTCATTCAATAGGAATGAAGAGTTACGGGTGCTCGACCAAAACAGGAAGCGTGTACTATGTTGCCCATCAGCGACACCAAAGCCCCGCCCCCTTTCAATAACGCAGGATAGTATAAATAGAGCAGCCTCAGTCCTCTACTCACCGAGCGGCATGGCCTAGAAGTCTAGACCATTGCTTAGCATTCGGGAGGACGCGGGTTCGATTCCGGGTCCGTCTGCCTTGGTCCAAGTTTTTCTGTGGTTTCCTTGGATCACTTAGGCAAATGCTGAGGCAGTAATATTCCACAGATAATCTTTCATTCTCTTCTGTCTTCATTTCGTCCGTCTCATCTTTCTCACCCGAACCACCACCCACCCATTCCCACGATTCCTGAAAGCAGGCTGAAGAGGGCCTTCCGCCCTACCTTCCGGCATAGTCCGGAGGGACTGCCCGCCCACCAGCATTACTGGCTGGTGGGAATGAAACACCCAAAAGTTTTTTTTTTTTTTTTCCTCTACTCTACCGAGCGGCATGGCCTATAGGTCTAGACCATTGCTTAGCATTCGGGAGGACGCCGGTTCGATTCCGGGTCCGTCTGCTTTGGTCCAAGTTTTTCTGTGGTTTCCTTGGATCTTTTAGGCAAATGCTGAGGCAGTAATATTCCACAGATAATCTTTCACTCTCTTTTCATTTCGTCCGTCTCATCTTTCTCACCCGAACCACCACCCACCCATTCCCACGTTTCCTGAAAGCAGGCTGAAGAGGGCCTTCCGCCCTACCTTCCGGCATAGTCCGGAGGGACTGCCCGCCCACCAGCATTACTGGCTGATGGGAATGAAACACCCAAAAGTTTTTTAAAAAAGTTTTTTCTCTACTTCAAACTTGCCGTTGAAGCACCCCTAGATCCTATGTACTTCCCCGTCCCCCATAATCAACTTCCTGACATTCTCGACTTCTTCGTCTTTAAGAATGTCACTCTTTCTTTACGAAATCAAAGAATGTTGCGGTCAATCCATCTCCACAGAGGCTCTCCGCATCCGCACAGACATCATACAATGCCATCGCTATCAATTATTTGGGCACGCATAAAAAACGTGTAGGGTGCGTGTATTTATCTACGATCAACCGATCAGCACAGATATGCCCAAATCAGGTTTGTTTGTGCAAAATCCAAGGTTGTTCCTTTAATAAATGTTCAAGCAATTCCAAAACTAGAATTAACTGCAGCCAAACTTTTAGTAAATCTATACGAATCAGTCAAGACATCAATTAGTAATATCGACAGCGTATGTTTCTGGAGAAATTGAATGATTGTACTGCACTGGATCAATAACTCACCACAGCTTCTTCTCATCGTTGTGGCCAACCTCCTATATACAGTTTATTAACAATTAAATGCTATAGTAATAGAAATCGAATCTAACCTTAATTTTCGACCTTTTACGACTCTTTCCACCGATCCCAATGACCCTACAGTCAACACTTCTGCACATTTTTTAAAAGGTAATTCACTAATGAGTATACCAGACGAGAATTACCTGGAAACCTCCACAAATTGTCTCTCCTTTTGACAACTCGTACAACCAATTAAGCAAGAATTTTGGTTTCGTATAATGAAGGAATATGTTGACTTATTTAATTCCACTGACGTATGGTACATAACAGAGATTCAACTTTCATAATTTTATTCATATCAACTTTCTAAAGTTAATCTAAGGTCAACCCAGTAGGTGTTGTTATTCCAATTCAATTAGTATAAAAATTTGTTAATAAACAAAATTAAAGGAACTATGGAAGTCAATAAGGAATAGGCGATAAAAGGTGATAGAACACCTTCCCAGGCATGAAGGGCTAGTCAGAGACATATTAGAGGCAGAAATAGGAGTTAAGAGGAGTAGAGGTAGATCTAGATTAGATTACTGTTCGCAAATAGTTAAGGATGTGGGATGTTCTAGTTTTAGGGAAATGCGAAGATTAGTTGAGGATAGGAAAGAGTAGAGGTGCGTGTCTAACCAGTTTTTGGACTGATGATATTATGATGATAATGTTGAAACAAAATTAATAAATAAGCGCGATAAAATATTTAGCATTTCAGCATTATTACTACATTTTGTTATTATTAAAAGTAATTTTAAATTAAGATTACTTCATATGCAGCAATTTTAATATATTTCCGCACGGGTACAACCGTGGAAGGTTACAATTAATTAATAAAAATCAACGTTGATTATAACTTTGCCTGTCTGTGTAACAAACGCTTGCGGAATGGATATAATACAAAGTCTTGATAAACATGAAATATATAAGTACTTGGGCTATAATCAAAGTCGAAATATAGATCATACTAAAATTAAATCAGAATTAACTAACAAATACACAACTAGGTTAAACAAAATACTTAAAACACTTCTATCAGGTAGAAACAAAGTTAAAGCTATTAACACATATGCCATACCGGTACTCACTTACTCCTTCGGGATAATTCGTTGGTCTGATACTGATTTAGACTCAC